TTGGGAGGCAGAGGCAAGCGGATCTCTGTGAGTTCAAGGCCAGCATGGTCTGCATAGTGATTTCCAGGACAGCTGGGCTACAGGGAGACCCTTTCTGAAAAAGACCAAAAAAAAAATGCAACAATACAATCAAAGTATTTTAAAATCAGTAACCAACTCAAAACAGACCCAGATTTTAAAACAGTCAAAAGACTTAAAGAGAGGAGCAGACAAGGTGGCTAGCAGGTAAAGGCCTCTGCCATCAAGCCTTACTACCTGAGTTTGAATACTGGAACACACAAGGAGGAAGGAAAGAACCAGCTTGCCTAAGTTCACTTCTGACCTACACATGCACACCAGGGCATGTGCATGTCATGCCTGGGCCCACAATAAAAATAAATAAATAAACAAACAAACAAATAAATACATGCATAATTGAGGTGTTTGACCAAGATAGGTAATGATTGTCATAAACAAAAGAAAAAATGCTCAAAGTCACCTATAAGTAAAGAAATGTATATGAAAACCACAGAGTTCTTACCACACATCCAGAAGGGTGGTGTTAATACCCAGAAAATAACAAGTGTGAGTGAGGCTCTGGGTAAAATAGAAGTAGCATGCTCTGTGGGATGTAATGTCAGATTCTACAGCTTTTGAGAAACACGGTAAGGTGGTTCTTCCAAATAGTGAACCTAGAATTATCATCAAAACAATCAATTTCATTTCTGGAAATACATCCTAAGGGACTGAAAACATAACTTTGGAGATTGATTTTTCAAGCTGGTGAGATGGCTCAGCAGATAAAGATGCTTGATTCCAGGCCTGACTACTTGAATTTCATCCCCAGGACTCATATGGTAGGAGGAGAAAACACGATTCCCTGTAAGTTGTTCTCTGCCCCCATACAGGCTGCACGCAAATATATGCACACACATAAACACACAGGCACACAATAAATCAAAATAAAATAACAATGTGTCTACTCTTGTTCACAGCAATACAGCACAATTCACATAGGCCACAGACAACCCACTCGACTATATTTCTACAGATGCTGATAAAAGAAAACACAGGAGAGCTATGTTAGGTGCCTTTGGAACGTGATTCGGCCTTGAGAAAGCAGAAATTATGCTGTATGCACGAGAACATTGATGGTCCCTGAGGACATTTTGTTAAGCAATACATAGTAGTAGGAACGGGGCAGATTCTACATGATTTCCCTTATGTGAGGTGCCTAGACAAATCAGATTCAGAGGAAAATAGCAGTAGAGTAGAAGTCAGGGAAGGGGGTTGGGGGACTGAGAAGGTAAGGAGACTGTCGGGGTTGGGGGGCAGTTATGATGAGTACAGGGTTTCAGTTTGATAAAATAAAAAGACTTCTGGAAACTTGTCCCCAAACATCTTGAAAATAATTCGTAATGCTGAGTTCTGAACTTCATTGTTTAGATAGAGAATGTTACATTTCTGCCTTTTCACATAATTCTAAAATTAGAACAAACAAAATGAGTTTCCAGTCTGCATTTTAGAGACTTAGTTTTCAACAATGCTGCATGAAAACTTTGATTTTGATAACCTTTGGAAGGCATCCTGGCCACCCTACCACAAAGGCAAGTAAACATCCTGCAGTTTCAGAATCAAGAGGGGAAGAACGTCAAGGCTGGAACAGCTTAGCTGAAAAGTTAGTTTCTGAGGAGGCTGAGAGAGAAGGATCACCCGGGCAAAGACTGACTGGGCTACACAGTACATTTAAGGCTAACCTAGGCAATTCAAACACTATCTCAAGACAAAAGATTGTTTTTTAAAGTTGGATATTTGCCTCAGTTACAGATCTATAATTGGTGCTGTCTGTTCAGCCCATAGTTAAAATAATGGAGATGCCGGGAGAGAGGGAAGGCACCCAAGTCCCTGGATGACAAGGAGGTTACTAAGGAAGCACCATACCTACCTTTGGCAAGCATCAGCGTTAGGAGTTTCTTCGAAAACTCTACGGAGTTCACGAAGCTGTCCAGCAGTGAACCTGTGCTGTTTGCTCCTGGTTGGCAGCTGAGCAGCAGGCTCCCACTGCTGTCGGTGTCCAGATCGATCAGACTTCCTGACACCACCACTCTTTTTCTCACGGTTGTAGTTATGGTCATCAAGAGGATTCAGGTATCTCTCAGCAACCACTGGCTCTGACACATGGTTCCCTTTGGCGGCTGCGAGCTGAGGTTCGGTAGTTACTTCTTCCTCACAGAAACCCACGCCATACTGTATTGTCAAGCTTGAAGTGATATTTCTTGCAGGCCATCTCCTGAACTCCACAGAAGGCGTGGCTACTGCAGTGGCGTTGCTCCTCTCCGTGCCTTGGAGATTGAATTTGAATTCTTCAAGCTTCTATGGGTGACGTCAGGCGGTGGCACGTGAAATTAGTAGACGTAAGAATGCTTCCTTTCTGCAATGCCTATTGGCTACGGATGTGGGTGGCGCTTCCTTTGGCACGAAAAAGTGGAGGCGTGGCCCAAAAGATGACAGGTTTGGAAGAAAGTTGCTGAGAGGGAGCTTGCAGCAAACTCGAGCCACAAGATAGACGTGAGCTGAGGAGATTTTGAGATCCCAGACCCGACCCTCAGAATCAGATGTTTGATTCGAAGCATGCATGCTGGTGAGTTCCACTATGAGCACCTTGAGAAAGTCGAAATATTTGGGGGTTTTCACATTTTATAAACTACTGCATTTTCATTAATTACGTGTGTGTGTTGGAAGTTGGGACTTGGACATGCCGCAGTGCAGATGTACAAGTCAGAGGACCACCTGTGCCTGTCAGTTCTCTCCTTCCATCTCGAGGGTTCCAGGAATTAATCTCAAGTCGCCAGGCTTGGAGGACCAGCACTTAAGCCTTCCCACTGGCCTGACGTTTTTTATGATCTTCCTCAGTGTCCGCATGTCATGTCCTGCCTAATGGTGATCACAACCAAAAGTATGTACACTGCATGGAGTTCCGCCAACTTTTTTTCTGCAGTGAATGTTAAACATCAAATTTTGGAGATTATTAGAATATTTGTGTCTCTTTTTTAAAGTTTTGATGGTGTTTGGTTGGAACCCAAGGATGTGCCCATGCTCAGCAAACTCTCTACCATTGAGCCATGTCCCAGGACCCACCAGTCCCTCAACACAGAGCATAAGCTTTTATTTTAAAAACATTTTTTTTCTTTTCAATATCTTTTATTTTAATGTTATGTGTATGAGTGTATTTCCTGCATGTGTGTAAGTGCACCCGTGTCCTGCAATGCCCGTGGTCAGAAGTGGTTGGATAGCATGGAACTGGAATTACTCATGGTTGTTATCTACCATGTCAGGCTTGGGAACAGGATGAGGATCCTCTGCCAGTGATGCCAGTGCTCTTAACTGCTGAGCCATTTCTCTAGCCCTAGTTTATTATTTATTCATTCATTTATTTGTTCATTTATTTGTCCTTTATGTTTATCAGTGATTTCCTATATATATTAAAATACACTCATGTTGTGCAATGCGTAGGAAGGCCAGAAAAGGGTATTGGATCACCTGAACTGGATGTATAGCCAGATGTTAGGCACCATGTGGGAGCTGGAAACCAAACCCACGTCCTCTGCAAGAGCAGCCAGTGATCTTAACTGGCGAGTAATCTCTCAAGTCCCTGACCTTCAAACATTTTATGCAGAAGAAATACACATGACACAGAAATTTGTGTTCTGTCTTCTACTGATGGATGACTAGGCTAGATCCCTTCTTGGCTACAATGTGACAGTAAACACGGATGTGCAGGTACCTCTGTATTATACTGACTTTCCTTCCTTTTAGTATATAGCCAAGAGGGTTATACCTGGACTAAATGGTAGTTCAGTTTCTAGTTTAGTTCATAGCTTCTTAAACTCTCAGTTGCAACCTGGTGTCGAGTCACATAAGTGAATGTGAGTGTCTCAAAAAAAAAAAACTGTCAGCAGTTAAATGTTTCTGGGTATAAAACACCTATAAATTAATTTAAATTCCAATGTGTAACAAATCCGAGCTGTTTTACCCTGTGTTGTATCATGAGATTTCTTTACTTCTCGTCTGAACACACATTTGCACTTTGCACCATGCATGCCAGCATGCCAATCGACAGCAATGAAGTCAAAGTCCATCAGCTCCTGTCAGATTCTAGACTACTGTATGCTATGAAATGCAGTGATTTACTGCACATGCAAACCTCTGCTCTAACAGAAACAAAAACATTCAATTATAGAAAATAATGACTTTAAATGACACCCTGCTGCCACTCCTTTGCATTTTTCAGATCACTACCCAACGGGATTGAATTATGTAAAATAGATGATTTTTTAAAAAACTGCTATTTCGGTTGCTGACTTGATTTTCATAAGAAAACATTATACGAATTTTGGTTAAGCATTAGTACAGAATTTCCAAAATTTTCAGAATGGCCACAAATATACTTCTGCCCTTTTATTCTGAATATACCAGAAGAGGAATTCTCAGCATTGAGGGGCTTGTTGGCGCAGGCCTTTAATCCCAGAACTTGGGAGGAAGAGGCAGACAGATCTTTGTGAGTTCAAGGCCAGCCTGGTCTACATAGTGAGATCCAGGACAGCTGGGGCTACAGGAAGGCCCTGTGTCAAAAAGACCCCCCCAAAAAATCAAAATACTGATCAACATACCATTATCTTCAAAACTAATTATTTTCATTCTTTTCTTTTTAATGTGTATGGATATATTGTTTGCATGTATGTTAAGTGCACCCATGTTGGGCAATGCCTGAGGAGGCCAGAAGAAGGCGTCAGATTCCCCTGTAACTGGAGTTATGTGCATTTATTAGCTGTCATGTGACTGCTGGGAACTGAACCTGGGTCCTCTACAAGAGCAGCCAGTGCTCTTAACCAATGAGCCACCTCTCTAGCCCCTTGTTTTTATTCTTATACTCTACAAATTGGATAATTTAAAAAATATTCCACAATACTCCAATCAGTGACACCCTCACATATTTCACTAATAGTACTAATCAAGATCAAATAGCCTATAGAGGGCCTAGAATCAAGTTTTACAAACATTCTGTAAGTCTATACCACGAAATAAATTGTTCATTGTTTGTCTCCTGCTGCTTGATGTGATTAAACCTCTTAATCCCGTGACAAAGTCATAATATAGTGCCACATATCTCTCATTTTGAGAAACTGCCATCATTGTCTTTAATAAAGGTAACCGTGTCTCTGAACTCTTGTTACAGACACAAAGTTGAGGAGACAACAGAGACACCGAATGTATGCCACAGTTGTTCTCCTTCAGGTTTGCAGGGGCTACTGTCACAAGGAAATGAGCAGGCTGACCAGCTAGTGTTCCATATGACTACAAAAGAAACTTAACTCTGACAAAATTTGCCTCATTCTCCCACATTCCTCTTATGCCATAAATTTTCTTTGACTTGATCACAGGCACAAGATATCCTTACATCACGTCATTCTTTTTAAAAGAATTTTAAAAATTTTTATAAATTATTTTTATTCTATGTATATGAGTGTATTGGCTCCATGTGTTTAAGTGCACCCATGGCATGCAATGCCCATGGAGGTCAGCAGAAGGTGTCTGATTTCCTGGAACTGGAGTTACAGATGGTTGTTTGTCGCCATGTAGGTGCTGGGAATCGAACCCAGGTCCTCTGCAAGAGCAGTCAGTGCTCTTAACCACTGAGCAATCTCTGTAGCCCCACCTCATCCCATTTTTGCTCCACATCTCATACCCCTTCATTTTAAGGAGAAGCAAACCCACGAGGTCTTCAAACTAAAGAAAATTTGACAAATGAATACAACTCATGTTCCCATTTTGAATGTCAGTCATATCTTCATGTTACTGTTGACACATTCTCTGGATGTCCTTGGACCACTGACCAAACATGGGAAAAGACTACTCATGTTATTACTCATCTGAAACCCCGTTTATTATCCTAGGCCTTCTTAACAATATTACAACAGATAATGCTCCAGCCTATGCTGGCTCTCGCCTTGCCTGCTTTATGACTGATTGGCATATTTCCCACAGCACCAAGAGTAAATGGATGGAGCTAGAGAGTATCACACTAAGTGAAGAAATACAAACATAGAACAGCAAGCTGCATATGTTTGCCCTCATATGTGGATTGTAGCACCAATCCCTTGTATGTGAGTATATAAATTCTGATGTAGCACCAGGAGCCAGGTAAAGGGAAAGGATACATGGAGGTAAAGGACAAGAAACAACCTGAAAGGGGGATAGTAGGGAACAGATGTAACCTGAGGGAGCTGGACGAAGTGGAAGTAATTGGCCGGGAGGAGAGGAGGGGGGACATGAAAGGGACCCATGGTGTGGGGGAGGGAAGGAGGGAAGTCAGGAGAGGAAGGAAGGTGGCAGTTGGGAGGGTTGGGGGAGGGTGCAGATAATGGGGGGACTGTGACTAGGGATGGAGGGAGGAGGGAAGCCGGATGGGAGAGAAAAGAGTGCAGATTGGTGGATATTGAGGGCTAGGAAACCTAGAGGGAAAAGTGATGCCCTAGAATCCCTATGAGAAATGCACATAGAGTGTCTGAACATTAATGCATATGTACACCAGGGACCTACTTTGCAGGGAATTCAGTGCCAGATAGAAGTGACCCCAAGCATGGCTTACAGCACTCATCAAAGAAACTTTTTTTGCAAAGGATGTAGACTACTACAGAGTTGCACATCTGGTCAGGCACAGAGAACATACATCTGGGAGATGCACAGTACTAAGTGACACATCTGCAGTCTAATCTCTGCAATGAAGGCTCATGCAACATAGCAAAATAAGGGGTAGAGAGAAGACCAATGCACCCCTCAACTGTCACCAGTGAGGCTTCCATGTACATCAGAGTGCAATGCTCACAGAAGGCCACAGGTGGCCACGTTTTTGGAGAAGAGACTGTAGACTGTTAGATGAGACTCCTATATGGAACGTCACCCACCCACAGCTCAGGGATCTTTGTGGAGGAAGAGGCAGAAAGACTGTAAGAGGCAGAACTGGTTCATGAACACAGGGAGTTGGAGGCCTCCAGGACACTGGAGGCTTGCTCATGTGAGCCTGTGGCAGTGGTGCGTCAAGCATGGGACCCAAGTCAGCTCAATTAAACAAGAGTCCACAGGTGAGGTGAGAAATAGGTTGCAGGCCAGCACTAGATTGAGGACTATTGGAGACTGATTGCTGCTGGGCGAGGGAGAGTATGACTGACATATGACCACTGGATGGGCTGACTAGACTCCAGTGGACTCATTTACA